ATTTTGATTTCGGTAGCCCATTTGCACTAAAGTATCACTTGCTGATCATCAAATACTTGACGGCTGAGAATTGCCGCATGCAATGCAACGCGGCATAACTTTTTTTCGTTTTGGTAGTCTATTTGCACGAGAGCATCACTAACCGGCCATTAAACACCAAATGTTGGTCAACAATTAACTAATAAAGTCATCAGATGACGGCATACTTAACCCAGCCAGCCTTGGGGCTTGTTGGGGTCCTATTTGGTGTGGAAATATTTTGCCTCCTAACCAGGGATGTAGTTTCCTGTTTTTAATTATCAGTTTTCATTCAATATTTTTCATTTATCGTCGTTTTTTGTGGTTCAGTCCACCTCCAAACAGATTTTTAGAAACTCTTATCCTGCTCTCAACTCCGAGCAAGTGTGTCGAATCTGGAGAGAAATCGTTTAAAGTGCATTGAACATGAACCGCGCTTTGAGATGCATATCACAGGCAATTGACAGCTCTTTTAGTATGTGACGGACATGAGGCTGGGAATCAAATAACTCAAGAACAGCGTCGCAACACAGAATGCGAGCGTCATTAAAAAAAACAGGCCACCACAGACAAATATGTAATAACATTACGAGAAAGAGCATAAACATGGGCACAGAAGGATCACAGGTAAGCTCACACTGCTTACTTTAACAAACGACCTTGCGAGTTAGTCTGTCTGCTACAGTTGCAATTCAGACAGCCATTCTGACAGCGACAATGATATCACAGGAAACGTTCCATGACATGATTTAACGATGCCATGTTGAGTGACATATTTGCTTTTTACTGCAATGGTGGTATCTTGCATGATGTGTGGCACCTAAGTAAATACCAGTAGTGACCAGTGAGCTTTTCCGCCATATATCAGGCTTGCCTTGATGTCTTCAAACGCAAAGTATTTCCTTTAGTTAACACGTTGCACGATTTACACTGGAAAAAACCCAAGTGTGGTGAGTTTTGTAATCGTCTCCTATTCGCAGCCAATGGGAATCAACATAAAATGTGTAATTGAAGACACAATTTGATGGAGGCACAATCCGCATCACCAACCTCGCTTTAGCCTCGAGATCCCGCTCGTTACAGCCACAGGAGCTGAGCCAGAGCTGGCACCAGCGCCTGCCGGCACCGCATGACCAGACCTCTGCTGTAACCCGCACACGAGCCGTAAGATCTGCCTCGTGAACATGCTGAGGCGTTCGGAGACGACGCCGTCGGCACCGGAGGGGGCCACCCTGTGGGAGATCCTGCAGCGCCATCTGGCCCACAATGCGCACGCCGCCAGCTACGTCTGGAAGTTCGGTGACCGCGAGCTTGACATGGCCAAGACCCTCGAGCAGAACGGGGTAATACGCGTCTCGACCGTCTCCGGCGATGAGGCCACTGAGCTGCCGGGCGGACGCTGACGGCTGGCAGTCTGCGACATGGCTGGGTCCGCCAACGGTGGGGTCAACCAGACGACATGAAACAGACATGGAACCAAATGCACGGTGTCGATGGATCTCAGCTACCAGCTAACACCTAGCATGATGCAACAACACACTGGGTAAGCACGCTTCGCGGTCGGGGGGGGGGGGGGGGGGGAGCTGCGATCGCTCGCCACCGGCTTAAATGTCCACACGAGGGTGAGGCCGAGGGTCGGGGCGTACGGATCCATGATGCATGCGCCTCATCTGGCGAACATTGGTCCGACGTGCCAGCCCGTCGATTGCGTCGTTCTTCATCCAGCGACCGTCGGCGTCCGCCGGCCCGGATATGGCTGCACGGCGCGTGACGTGTGCAGCGCGGCTCGGTGCGTGCAGAGGCCCGCTCTGCGGCAAGTCGGCTGCGAGCACAAGTGGTCCGTCCATGATTCGGATGGGTACGAAGCACTGAGGATAGCTCCAAGAATCTTCGTAAGAAGCGAAACAACGAAAGCGAGCCAAAGTTTGAGTTCATTCGCTAATGTCGGTTGCATGAAAGCATAATTTTACGAATCAACGACATGAACAATATCAATATTTTCACGAAATTGGCGGACCGATTTACCGAAGCAACGTATGCTTCTTTCATGAAAGCAGCAGCACAACAAACAGTTGCCATGGCAACAAACAAGGCACCATCAAACCAAGGAAGGTCATTGTTTTGTGAACAAGACCAACATTCCGCGAGGTTAATAGGGTTAGGCTCAAGTGATAGATATGCACATACATTTACAATAAATGCAGCTCAGTTTGGCAGGGGTTCGGTCCAACTTCTGGGAATCTTGAAGATAAATTGTTGTTTGCCGCCCCCACCTGTCGGAAAAAACAAGACTATGCTGGCTTCCCAGTCGTCCAAGATGCCTTCTCAGTCGTGGAACTATGCCTTCCCAGCAGAGATGATTCTGACTCGCATGAACAACTTAGGACAACGCAGCGATCTACTGAATGGCGTGGGTGAGTTAGCGATACTTGGTACAGAACACTGCAGTTCAACGCATCCGACCCTGACTGGAATATACGGAGGACCTCGTTCGGTGCTGGAGCTCCTCCTTTTTGTCAGCATGAACCCTTGGATTGTCATGTCTCTTAACCGCTGTCGTTGTTGGACGTCCCAACCAGCGCAAGAGGCCCTCTGACATTCGCAGTTCCGTCTCTGTCTCTGTTCTGGAAATATGCCCCTGGCTGACTCGGGATTTTTACCGACACGGGATTCCGTGTTAGGCACCGCTGGCCGCCCCTGACAGACACAGGGGCCATTATTCCCTTCAGCGTCCCCGCCGACAAACGACCTTCAGTGGCATTCGCGGGCCCCGATCTTGTTTCTACTTGGGAAATTTGTTTTGGGGGGCCGGCCTGATACGGGGTCGACTGTTCAGTTTTTATGATTTCCGGCCGACGTTGTGGCCCGCATTGTCCCAGCAGGTCCCCCATTGACGCAAGAGGCCCTCTTACTAACATGCGAGGGCCCGGCACCATAGGCCGGGCCACCAAAGTCACTGAATACAACCTTTAAATAGTCAGACCCTCCAATCGGGTCCTTGATTATCAGGTTACACCCAGCCCATATCTACGGGCTTGGCCATCACTGCACTCGCCGAAAAACTCTTCCGGGAGTAGCTCCTTCAACGCTCACCGGGCTTGGCTCCGGATCCCAGTAACCCTCGGTGAGATCGAACTATTTAAAGCCTGGCTACGCCCATGCCCATATCGAACCACTTGAGAGGGCCAAAGACGAGCAATATAGCCAAAGAGTTCCAAACCAAAATGTTGTTATCCGAAACGAGCAACACACCCCTTGACACTGAAAAGGAACGCGATAGTTTAGTGCCAGTGAGCTGGGACGCCACTGTGCTTTTTTGCTGATAAATTGAAGATAGTCTGTGGTAAGACAGTCTGTAAAGATAATCTGCGGTTGAGGTAACCCATTTTTTTTAAATGCGCTCAGGTGGGAGTCAAATTGACCTCCGAAGGTTTTTCCAAAGTGGTTTCCAAACGGCCCGACGTACCGACGCCAAAGTGTGCATAGCTGTAGACAGACGAATAGCGGATTGTTTAGCACAAAAGTTAGATGTGCCTTGTAAGGCCTCTGATCTACGGCAGGTCAAAGTCAGTCTATAAATTCAGCGAAGTCAATTTCTCGGGAATCGTTTAATCTGATGCAACATCGTAGTGTCAGACGAAGCAATACATCTCTGAGATACTTTCATAGGCAGCACAACAATCTAATGACCCAATTCCATGAACCTAGGGTCAGTTATGAAGGCCAGACCAAGAACAAAACCAACCTGTTTTATTACTCTGGGGCTTGCTGTATATGGTAGTTTTCGGTGCATATTTCGAATTCATTGATAACAGGAACCGCATTATACATCTTCAATGAACTTCTTGAAGATCAAAATAGGTCACTGATCCAAAATGACTCGGGTATATAAATAAATCTTTGCCGCTTATTCAAGTACGAAAATAAAAGCATTCTTATATGATTTTGGTCATTATGACCTTTAAAAGATCAAACAAGGTCACTGACGTCAAAGAGACATGTCACCTTTTGCTTGGAACAGGTATCTAGATTCTGGGGCACCCCGGAGACTAGCTTGAAGTTTGACCTCTTTGACCTAATTTGACCCCAAGATCATGACCTAAGAACTCCAACTTGACCTAAGTAAGCTTACGTTCATGCCATGACAGTCTGTGAGTTTGTGTTTCTAGCTCATTTAGCTCCCGAGATCCCAGATGGTCAAATTGATCCCCCACCCGAGCGAGGGGTACCAGACCAGCCACTCGAGAACGTGTTAATTTGATTTCTTTTTCCTTCAAATGTAAGCCCAGACGCTTTTTCACGCAATTAAATGTAGTATTGACGCCACTGATTCGAGGCTGCAAGATTTCATAGGACAACATTGAGTAACAATTTTTATTTTGGTGCGGCATCAAAAGTGCAGATTATGGATCCAGTTCAGTAACAAATGCAAAATCATGCGGAAAACGAAAATTTGCCGGGGCAGTCTTTAACCTAATTCCGCGGTGAGCAGATTCTTTTTAGTACCCTTAAACCATTACCCCATTTTGGCGATGCATCTTGGAAACATTGCCTCGATCCCTTATTCATATAGCATGAAAGGACCCATTTGCAGATCTGCTATGAAACTTAATTCAGAGACTGTTTTTAAAATGATACAAAAGTTTACATTATGATTGCCTTTTTCACGCACACAAAATGGGCTACATCCACTGAGAAAAAGATATGAGGGGTAGGTCGTCGGAACATTGGCTCCCCCTACCCACTCATAAAAATCAAACCCCTGAAATCAAAGTAACACGGAAGTCAACATTGTCGATAATCGCGAGCGGTGTATTGATGTCAAAATGGCACCCAGTGCTGTAGTGGACTAACATAAATGATTAAATCTAAATGATCCATCACAACCCCACGGGAAATCTTCTTGCGCTACCGAGCATGCGCAGTTGGTTGCGCCCTGAACCGATTGGTGAGCTAGAACATCCACGTACTACGGTGTCCATATATTGATAAACACGGGTTGTATTTTTGTATGGTCAGACGTAACGAGAACAATGGACGACAACGTCAGCCGTATCTGGTTGCCGAGGTGACAGTCAGCAGGGGCAACAGTACAGCTCTCCGCGGCTATAGCTCTGTCAGGTCGTCCGAGTAGTATAGGAAGATGGCCGGCAGGTAGCTGTCCTCGTCCAAGTCCAGCTTGTAAAAATCCTCGCTTTCGTTAGGAATCTGAAATATCGCGGTAAAACCGACGCTGGGGTCTTAACCTCATACACTGACGACATCAAACTGTAACATATTGAAGTAAAGATTGCGTGTTTATTAGCGGTACATGTTACATCCATCGATGGATGGCCAATTCAGGTAATGCTGCACAGTTATCATATTACTTTAACTCCCTTGCAAAAAATGTTGCATGCCATGGCCAAAAATACCCATAAATGTAACACATGTCGGTTTTTTCGCTCCAAACGAACTGACATCATTTCCCCTCCAGTCGAGCGCTTGCCCTGGCAGATGCTTGACCGGCGGTGCCAGCCGTGACATCGCCCCTCAGCCAACTCGATCATGCCAACAGCTCATTGACCCCCACCGTTGGCGGACCCAGCCATGTCGCAGACTGCCAGCCGTCAGCGTCCGCCCCGGCAGCTCAGTGGCCTCATCGCCGGAGACGGTCGAGACGCGTATTACCCCGTTCTGCTCGAGGGTCTTGGCCATGTCAAGCTCGCGGTCACCGAACTTCCAGACGTAGCTGGCGGCGTGCGCGTTGTGCGCCAAGTGGCGCTGCAGGATCTCCCACAGGGTGGCCTCCTCCGGCACCAACAACGTTGTTTCCGTGCGCGTCAGCATGTTCACGAGACGGATCTTGCGACTCCTGTGCGAGGTACAGCAGGGGTCTGCTCAGGCGGTGCCGGCAGACGCTGGGGTCAGCTCTGGCTCAGCTCCTGCGGCTGGATCGAGCGGAATCTCAAAACTCAAATAACATTAGTGCTGCTGATTTTGCCTCTGTCAAATTGTGTGCCATGAATGCTCCACGTTTGAAGGCATTGAGACGAACATGATGCATGATCACAAAAGGTAACTTATCACACTTGGTATTAATTTAGGTGTCAGCTACTGTGCTATATAACACCATTCCGTTGATAAGTAAATATGTTTCTCGATATGCCATCTTTCGATTGCGTCATGAAACGCTTTTATGACGTCAGAGTCCCTGCCAGACTGGCCGTGTGAGAATTGGCTCTGTAACGGACGGGCTGGCCCGCTTGAAGTACTTGAACTCGCCGCAAGGTGGCTTGTTAGTTAGTGCGTGTGAAAACAACGATTATTTTCGATGACCGTCATGTGCGCGTGTTTTGGCCCTTTCTCGAGGTGTTCTTGTATGTTTTGTGATGGCATGCTTTTGCTTAGTTTACATGGCTGCTTGCCTTCTCGACGACTCGACTGTCGAGGTATTCGATTGCTCGCATTGCGTCCGTCATGACTAGTTATACTACCCGAATGCCATCGTGCATCACAAAACGTGGTTCGTGACAGAGACTCGCATTCAACGCGTTCAGCTGGTCAGACACCTGTTGTCAGCTGATACGACGATTTGTGCTGACGTACTTCTGGCACGAATAAGTTAATGGTTATATTGTTCTTGACTTTGAACACAAGATGGCCATTGAGGAAGCAGAATTTGCGGAGCGTTTTTATTACGTCATACATTTCTGAGTCTTTCAAATCAGGTGGCGCGAAACCAACTCCTAAAAACAAGCTCTTGAGTAAAAGACGGGCTAGTTTTTATCTCGTTCTTACTTTCATACCTGACCGTAGGTCAATAGTATTGGTTGTAATATTAAAATCAATAGGTTAATGCCTAAGAAACTATTCCAGAAATGTTTGGCTTCGTCTAATGCTCCGATGTTGCATCACATTGAGCGATTCCCTACGAATGTCCTTTGCTGACAGCCATGGCCTGACTTTGGCCTGTCATGGGTCAGCCACCTAACAAGGTACGCTTTACTTTTGGAGGTTGATTTAACCCCCCTCACCTGAGTGCGCTTTATCTTTGTTTTTTGGGAGTTGATCGCATTTAGAGTTACAGGCAACCATTTCTGATATATTTGGCTCGATGTGATAATTCAGACTGCTACAAATTTCGTCGGTGGCAGAAAAGACATCCTTTTAACCTGCCTAGCTCGGGAACGAGATGCTTTGAAGTTTTAAACAGTGCGTAATTGCGAACTGCAGGCTCTTGAAGGTGGTCCCTGCAGTTCGGACCCCCATAACATGTGGTTCAGTCCTCTTAAATGGATTGCAAAATGATGTGGCGGAGCTGTGTAGCTACAGACCCTTTCCTCGTGTACAGTTTAAGACTTTCGGTTAATTGCGCTTCCAGCTGTTTTTGGCAATAGCAGCCGTAGCACCTACATTTATCACAAGCGAGTCGGGAACAAAAGCCTACACTATGATAGCAATAATCATGGGAAAGCTGCACGTAAAGATAAGGTGGCGTGCCACTCTAAACACCTTGGACTGGCTTGTTGTTAACAACGGCATGAACCAGCCCCGCCCATACCCGGACACTTTGCAGCGCTCTTACATTCTGCGGGATGAATTGCCCTGACTGGCATCATAGCTGGCCACATTTCCACAGCATCTGCACAGTTCATCCCTGGTTTTCGAAGGGAGACTTCCATGTGTGTATGAAACTTCGAGCTGAGATAACCGTCCAGAAGTTCATTTAGCATGGTCCTGGTCTTTTTTATAATTAATTAATTTTTAGAATTAATCTAACCCTCTGGGCTCTGAGTTGACGCCCACAAACTTGTGCTGGCAATCGCGTGCAGACTACTTCAACGTCACGCAGGCATGCATGGTGCCACAAAAACATGACACGACTGCGACCAACACGTTGGCCATGCAGCGCTCAAGGCTAAGAAAATATTGTCATCGAGCTATTTGTCTCTGGCGTACGTCAGCACATTGTGTTGCATCAGCGGACTTAAGTTGGTTCTCGATCAATGAAAAGCGTTTAGAAAAGCTTCGAACGCAAATTGCGTTTTTTATGGTTTTGCGCTATATACTACAGGACCTTGGGCAATAGTACGAGGTATAACGCAAATAACAGTGGGAATGGAATTGCTTAGAGTGTTCCATTTGTATGCGTGGTTTCGAACTGAATAGCCGTTTTAATGATCATTCGGTGCAGTTCACAGACCCGCCTTTCTAAAGACCTGACACTATCTAGTTTCCAAGAGACATGCCCGCGAAGATGTGCGGACTATTTTGCGCGGACTATTTCAAGATCAGTCAGACATGCATGGCGCCATGGAAACGTTGTTTAAACCGACCACCCAACAGGTTTTGCGGCGATCAAGACCAATACAAATATAATCGTCGAGCCGTTCAAATGTAGTAGCTGTAATCACGATTTCCGGGTATGACGGACGTCAATTGGCTCTCAACTAATGTTGAACAGGCTGTGCAAATTTCAGCCGAGAATAACGTTTCGTGATGCTTAATATGAGAAGCTGGATATCATTGCTAGCTATCATGCACATAAGACTTGAAATCGAACAAATTAGGAATAGCGCTGTAATCAAACATGTGGAAACAGGTAAGCATCTCAAACCCACGGATAAGTATGCAAGAACACTACGGGAGCGGGCCGAAATACGAGCACATAACGATGTTTGACTTAGCGCCCTTCCAGTATCGCCACGGCCACCCCTCGGGGAATTTAAGTGCCACAAGTGTGTGCTAGGGTGGCATTTCGCACAGCTAGTTTGACGGCACCCCAACGTCATCCAAACGTTCTATGACACAATTGAACGATGGCCTATTGAGCAACATAGTTCCTAAATAGCGACATTTTGCTGTCGAGAGCGGTATTTCACACTTAGTTTAGTTGCTTAACTTAAAGCCCTCTTAACCAGAAATGACAAATTTAGGGGTATGGGATGAAGGAGAATGGATAACGGTGGAGCACGACAGTATGCGCCTGGGAAGGGGAGGGGGCAAACGCCGGGCCTAAGGCCGGCGGGTACTCGGTCGGGATCCCCCTCCACGGGGCCTCTCGTGACTGGCGCGTGCAGTCTTCCCCGGACAAAAGGAGTGTCGCGAGGATACAGGATTAAGCGAAAAGGAGGACGGTGTCGGATGACCCTTAACATTTACGTAAACCTGTGGTTACAGGTGAGTCTATCGCAAAATGGCTGATGCTTGCCTCAACATCCGCAAATGTGCAACATTTCCTGGAGTAAATAGTTATGGGGTTACAATTATAACAGCTGGTCCGTTCTAGACCGACTGAATGATTTGCTCACATATCTAGACAATAAATCGCATTCGATAGCACTTTTGGCCTAAACGGTACAAAACGGCCGTGGCAGTGCGAGCGTAAGGTTGCAGCGTTTGAACGGAAGCAGGCGAGCCCAGTGTGTAGCATACTAACACCTGCGCTGTTTAGAGAGGGCGTTGGGTTGATCCCAACATTATCGAGCTCACAACTTGCCGCATGTAGACGTTTAGAAGCGAACCGGCCTGTACCCGTCGTCGTCAGGAAGAGGACAAACGGGCACAGACGGCTGCCGCTCTATTTGCGGGCGTCTGTTTGGACCGGCTGTTCCCTGTTGGGCGACTGACCCCTAAACACCCGTCACGGCCTCCCGCTGTTTACTGTCGGCGCGACGACGCAACTGCCTTTAACACGCGCTCGGGGGGGGGGGGAGGGAGGGGGAGGACAATATGACCCTCGAAGGTTTTTTCCGGAATAGTTTCCGAACGGTGCGGCGTGGCCGCGCCAATTTTGCGTAGCTGTGGAAAGTTGGATTGGGGATGATTAAGCACCACAAATTTATATTTACCTTATGCGATCTATACCTTATCACTGACCTACTGCAGGTTAATGTCAGGCCATGGATTCAGGGAAGCCAGTTTCTAGGAAATTGTTCACTCTGGTGCAGCAATTAAGCGTTAGAAGAAGCTATACATCTCTAAGTTTTTTTTAGGCAACAGAACAATTGAATGAACAAATTCCATTGGGCTAGGGACACGTATAAAGGTCAGACCAAGGTCAAAACCGACATGTTTTATTACTCTAGGGCTTGCTGTATGGGATAGTTTCTGGTGCTCATTTTGAATTTATTGATTACAGGAATCGCATTATGCATCTTGCCTTGGCTTCCCAAAAGTCACAATTAGTCACTGATCTGAAATGATCCAGGTCAACAGTTTGTTTTTGGGAGCATACTGCCCAGCGTAATCTTTGTCGCTTGTTCAAATGCAAAACTCAAAGCAGTTTTCGTCCACCATGACCTTCGGAAGCTCAAACAAGGTCACAGGTCTTAAATGATTATGTGACCTTTTGTTTAGAGAAAGTATCTAGGATCTGGGTGCACTTTAAGACCAACCTGAAGTTTGATCTTTTTTGACCTTATCTGATCCAAAGGTCATGACCTAAGAAGTTCAAAATTTGGCCTAAGTGAGCTCACGTACAGGACAATGCACCCTGGAAATTTTGTGTCTTTAGTTTTTATGCTCTCTTAGTTCCTGAGACCTTAGTGGGATCAAATCGTCCCCCCCCCAATCGAGCGAAAGGTATCCAACCAGCCACCCGGGCGCGTGTTACGAAAGAAAAGGTCATTGCTTCGCGTGCCGCAACGTGGGGTCGTTACTGGCTCGAGAGCGTACGAGCGGCGGCGGACGCCTCGGTCTATCAGCTTTCGGCTAGGTAGGTCCAGTTTGTGGGCGAGAGGTCAGTGTACCATTCCACGGTTCAAGCCAACTCGGTACAAGGCGGAGATCTGGCTCACGCAGAATATAGCCTCGGACAGCCATCAGGGTCAGCTTACTGGTGTATCACTCGCTGTTACCGGCCTGCCGGACACAGACAGGGCCACGTGTGACGGCCATGGATCGGGCCGAAACAGGTCCGGAAGACAAGGCTCGTCCAGTGATCACAAGTGGCCCCGTTACCTGTTCGAGAGCACGCCGACGCAGTAGAGCGCCTCGTCACGCCACCACGGTCGCCCAGTGTCGTTCTGCCAGCTGCTGGATGGGTACGGCGGTGGCGTGCCCAGCAGCTGGCCGTGCGGCAGGTACGGACACCACACCTGGGTCGTCGGGTCCACGTGCCGCTTCAGCTGCGGATGCGCGGGGGAGGTCAGGCGCACACAGAGGCTGCACGAAATATGCATGCCAGGTGATTCGCTGAGCCAGTGGTAGAGAGTGACGATTCGCTGAGCCGGTGAAAGGAAGTGACGATTCGCTGAGCCAGTGGTAGGGAGTGACGATTCGCCGAGCCAGTGATAGGGAGTGACGATTCGCTGAGCCAGTGGTAGAGAGTGACAGCTACTCAGCACTATAACGTAAATATCCATGCCAGGTGCTTCGCTGAGCCAGTGGTAGAGAGTGACAGCTACTCAGCACTATAACGTAAATATCCATGCCAGGTGCTTCGCTGAGCCAGTGGTAGAGAGTGACAGCTACTCAGCTCTATAACGTAAATATCTATGCCAGGTGATTCGCTGAGCCGGTGGTAGAGAGTGACGACTACTCAGCTCCACAACGTAAATATCCATGCCAGGTGATTCGCTGAGCCATTGGTAGAGAGTGACAGCTACTCAACTCCACAACGTAAATATTCATGCCAGGTGATTCGCTGAGGCAGTGGTAGACAGTGACAGCGACTCTACAGCGGGTCTACAAACGGGGCGGTGTGGATTCGAGCAGGATTAACGTGCTGGTTTGCGCTGAGCACGCTATTTCTGACCGCCGGGGCTCTTCGGACTTTTTAACGGCGGCTCTGGGAAGCGGTCAATCGCGCCAAACGCTAGTAGAGACGACTGAGCTTAAATGAGACCGCTCCTGACTCATCATTTGCTGAGTTTAGTTCGCCAACAGGCGTAGATTACATTCCGGAAGTTTCCGGCTTGGTTTGGCTGTACTCGTCATCTCCTTCAAGCGTTGCGACGAAAGTAATTTGTCCAACGCTGAACGCCAGGGCCGCCGCCTCCGCCGGGGATTAACGCAGCTCTCCGTGTTCCAACCCCGCGATACCCGTGCCACTGCACCCCGCCCCGCGGGGCGGGCCGCTGTTTGGGTTAGTCTGTGATCACGGCGGCGGGGGGAGGGGGGAGGGGAGGACGATGCCGACCACGGCCGCTCCAACCCGTTCAAGGACTTCGTTGACGTCTTACTCCCATGCTCACATCACGCGTTTTGGGATCGAACCAGTCGGAGATGTCCTTGCCGGCGTGGGCCAGCAACGGTCTGATGTGCGGATCGGCCGCTTGGCGCCGCACCATCGCCGTGACGTCATACACGCGGCCGAGGAACGACACCCAGATATCGTCCGGACGGTTGTGAAGCTTGACCTCGGCTGGCGGGCAGAGGGCAGGAAGGAGCAGGTCAGGTGGTCTGGGGAAGGGCAGAGGTCAGGCGAGCATGGTGGCGTCAGGACAGTTGGACAGGGCTTTGCGATGTCCGTGCGGACGGACATAGGGTAGCGCCCTCAGTTCGGTTGGGCACGCGGTGGCGTTGTCAGACCGGTACATGGAGGGTGGAAAACTAAGACTGGATTGACTGGATGTAGCCTTATCAAATGACCTGGAGGCGTTCATAATGTTCACAGCTCATAATGTCCACAAAATAGTTATGCCTGCGTGCAACAGGGTGAGAAGTTTCGCCCTTTCGCCCTCAGAGAGACGCGTCGCTATGCGCCGTATCGTCATTGCCTCCAATTTTGTGTACAGTCCAGCACCATTGTTGCAGAGTCAATCATCCGCGGCCTCTTCAAGCCCTGCCCTGAATAAACCCGAATGGAAATAGACCAACTCCGAATGAGAGGCCTGAAACAATCGACTGAAATGGAGCCGACTGTTCATATGCCAGCTAAAAGCCAGCGCTAAAGAAAAAGCTCGATCTTGCGCGAAGCCGACGGCCGTGTCCGCGGCTGCTCTGCGGCAGCCACATGACAGGCGTTCAGGGTGGAACTGGCGTGCAGGAAGGGCATGGTGGCATGGAGGCAGGCCGAACACGCGCCGGCGTCAAACCGGTCAGCCAGCAGGTGGAGGTCTGAGTCATGACAGCTGCGCCGTGTATACAGTGCGACTTGGGAAGGTGTAGCTGTGAAAAGATAAATGCTCATCCTAGCTGATGCAGCATGTAGTTAGAACAGTAGGGAACTATTAAACATGCGAGAAAGGTGCACGAATTTGTTTTGCAGTGCCTGAAACGGTCAGCAGCACTCGCTAGCTCCTCTTGTCTGCATGTCCATATTTGGTTGCTTGTTGATATGCTCCATAAATCCTGCTCCTATGCCGAGTCTGACTCATACACATGCTTACGACTCATGCAATAACTTATGCACATTTTGGAGTTGCGTTGCTAGCAATGGATGCAGCAACATAAGCGGTGATAGCAATAGGTACCATCTGTCACTTCCCTTCTAAAGCCCATAAAGGTATCTTGATGCTAAGAAAAGCAACACTATGAACAGCGTAAAAGCCAAGGCCAGAGTCCGTACCTGCTTACAGTCATATGGAGATCTGACGTTTGTCAGAGATCATTTGTATCTCTGCTATTGAAACAAAAAACATATGTGGGTATTCATTACCAGCGCTGTGATTTTGCGTTGGAAGCACATGTATCTGCATGTATAGGCAGAAATGCCTTTAGAGGTCGAGGTGGGGAGCAGGGGCGAGCAGCCCGAGCTTTGGTAAGAGGTGGAGGCATAGTGTTGACAAAAGGTCACTGGTGGTAAAAGCTCCCCGCCGAAAAAGTTACCGGTATGACCCATTTGATTTCAAGGGAACACGATTTCCGCCGTTTTGTGATTACTTTCAACTTCTTTGATTGAAACAGAGAAGCAAACCGAATATGCCTTTCTGTTTGTTTGTTGACGTACATTACCAGAACGAAACATTTGTGTAATGACTACAAGTAGTAGGCCACCGATGTTTTTCATCTAACAATGGTCAAGGAAATCTCTCATAACCAATAAAACCCAGAGGATTAGCCAGATATTGTTCTCAGTTTTACAGATATCTTAAGGACCCGGTGAACGTTGGCTGTAAATTCAAATGGTGTGAAAAATGGAACAATATGGCCAACCCCTGCTCGTCTAGGAATGTTCAGCCCCGTGTCCTAGAATTGCCGACTACGCATGTAAAGCAACACCTGATCAGGAGGAATTTTTTCCTCCTTTTCTCCACATTTGATGATAATTTTTAACTCCTACCTGATATTGCCCAACCACACATATCAAACCCATATTTTTATTTCAGAGGTTTTAATGTGTTATCCAAAACCGAGATCACTGGAAACCATCAAGCATAAACAAGGCTACACAAAACCTGGACACCCATGGCTATAGCCTGCCTCACCTACATCTGAATCATATATATGTATGCACAGAGCAAGGACACCAGGTGCCTTAAAACCCAAAAGCCTCAGCGACTCCAGCCGCTTACATGTATCGAGTTAAGTTCGTTTACAAAATGCATCACAGCCTTCAGCTGTTTGCCAAATGCAAGGTTTTCACGCCTCCCCAGTTTTTTTACGGCCACACCACACAAACGCCACGCCATCAAAGTCTGGTACAAGCGTCCGCAGAGCCTGGTCGATAATTTTACTCCGGGGGTTTCTCTACCCTGAGAAACTTGACCACTAAATTGCACCACTTCCAAAGTGTAGGAGTGCATAGTTCAAGAAACATGTTCTGAATGAAATTTAAAAACTGAATACCAGAATTTGAGCACTCATTTTCACAGATTTTTAGTCAAGCTGGTTGATTGCAAAATTTGGCCAAACGCCTCTAAGTCCCTACACTTATTTAATTAAGTTTGTTTTCTTGGTTTCATACATACAGCTAGTGTGATACAGCTTCAGTTTCCCTTTTTCCGATCATCTTTAAAGACGATATCTATGGCTTCAAATGTTGACCACTTTCTCTGCAAAATGTTCCAACTGCAGACTTGCACATATTTTACAGATAAATTGGATCAATTCGTCGGCAGCCCAAACATGTTTGATGTGCACCCAAGAGAGAACAGCTCATAGGAAATGAAGGCAACAATGTGGAGCACGGAACTTATTTTTACCGCCATTTTTTGCCCTGTCAAACTCCTAGTTAGCCGTTTTTACCTGTGTTCATCGCGGGGCTCAATACTGATATGTCTAAGCCACTCCAGTTTCACTATCCCACCAGGTTACGCTATCCTGCTGCACATAGCCTTGGGATAGACCCGGCACGGCTCATACAGAAGTGTTTGGTAGCGAAATTCCGTTATACGAAGCTGCTCTCTCGTGCGGACCTCCTCTTACTTACTTCGCATTTTAATCTTGTAAGTTGGTGGGCATGATTTGTAGTTATATTTTGTGACTGGGTTGGATGACCCTGTCTGTCAGCAAAACATGCGAAAGATACTGACTGTTTGTGTGGGGGAGCAGAAAGAAGCCTGCCCTTGAAAAGCCAGTAGGCTTCTCCTTATGGCGCAATTAGTTGCTAACGTTACCTGCTTTCATGACATGATTTGTAACCATGTTTATTCACTTTATGTTTAAATCCATCGAGTTTTGGTTCCTAAGACAAATTATGATGCCACAAGACATGATATCAACCTGTTTTGTACCATACCTTGTACCATACCATACCTTGGTCCCAAATTTGTTGAAGTAGTTCCTCATGTCTAGTTTAGCAAGACATTGTCCATAGCTGCATAGTTTGCTGGCTGGTCTGACCGACTGCAATGACTGTACCAACGATATGCACTGTCTTTTTTAACACAGGAATGCTCTAAGCTGCATAGCCATTACAGATGAAGTAGATGCTGATTTTCAGGAAATGGACCATTCCATATCAAATGTGAAGCCAACATTTCAAACATTAAATCCTTAGATATGAATAACCAAACCTTAATGTACACGTTTGTTGCAGCTGTAATGGCAAGCAGCAAAACTGGTTCTGTGGCCATCTATAAGTTATGTTACATTTGGAGGAGAAAGATTGCTTTGGGGAGCATACCCACCTTTGCCCCTGACAGAGGCTAACCGTGACAATCAGAAGTTGTCCAAAGTGATTTCAGGGGTGTCTGGTGTCAACAAGCTGACACACTTTAAATGAACCAAAACAGACGTTGAAACCGGCCAAGATCAGGCTTTGTCGTATTTTTATCACAAGCACTGCTGTCAAGAAATAGGTGAGGTGAGTTGAGGTGGTGTTCAGTACATGGACCACTCTTTTATGCGTTAAAGATCCTATGGAAGGGAAGCGCAAAGTACAGCATTTAGACACTGGTGTTACATAGTTTTCGAAGCTCATGATATCGGTTTTGCATAGTTTTGGTGCTTATTATTACGAAATTGCTGTTTTTTAATGTATTTTGTTTCTCTGTAATTACCCAAGATGTCAACAGCATTCTTGGCATGCTCCTGATATTACATGCATGCCAACTGGAAACGGTCTTGGCTGGGGCATCTCTCATTGACTGATAAGCTCTAACTTTTGTAACTTGAATTTTTCACTCCCGTGCGATCTTTTTGCGATATGACTTTTCACTCCCACCCTAGTTCAAAAGTGACTCCAGTTCACTGCTTCATCCTCTTGTCGTAATCGGTTACTGGAAAAATACGCAGATAGTTTTGAGCATGCGCGTACTCATCTTCAGATTCAGGGGCCATTTGCGCTCGCAAGTTTAGTTCAAGGGCCATTCCGTCCCAGCACGGGGGGCGTACTGACTGCCATTCTCGCAACACGAGGCGGATCTCCTGGTCGATCTGGACGCCCTTTGATGGATGCATTATAAATTGGTCGCTTCCTGAGACGAAAAGGTCTCTGACCGGGCAGTTGGCTCTAGATCGACATAGAAGCCCTCATTGATGCGACAAAATCACTTATCGCCGGTCCATTCATTGGCACAGATATCCCAGTTAGGCTTAACTGGCCCTTAACACGCGCCCGGGGGCCTCCCGGGTGGTTACACGCGAATAAAAAAGGTAAAATGGGCAAGATGGGTAATAACCCGTAAATGGCTCTGGTACACGGCTGACAAGCTTTCTGGGTAAGACATCGGTGACAATCTGCTGACATGGTTATGGTTACAGTTCTGTTGACGTAGGTTATTAACAACAAGACATGGGCACTAATAACCAAGGCAGTTGACATGCCCTTAAAGCTCAGTATTAACGTGGTGAGCGAAAAATGGGCGAAAAATCACCCATAGACTTAACACGGGCGACGCCAATCTCGCGACCACCGGTCGGCAGCCCGACACGCGTCCACCACCGGAGCCATATCTCGATAACCAAGGGTCGTAGCGACATGAAAATTGCATAGCCAGATAGACAATCGCAAGGGCCATAGGATAGCATCCAATTGATAGCGCCACTCCGCATATGGCACGTGCACACGAGGTGAAAATTATAATCTGTCATTTTTGGCCGATTTTTTTGTTTTGGGTCACATCTCGGCACCCAGCGTAGGTAAAGGGGTGCATTCTGTACCCCAACATTCACATTAAAGCAGCCACAATTTCAGTGTGTATTGCGAGTTTGCACGACGCACGGCTGCGCTGCAAATTGAAAGGCAAGTTGCAAGCGGCCAAGTTTTAAAAGTCGGCGCCGAATGCAAGCCACTATCGCCAAAACCGTTTGAAATTGAGTGTTGAAAACTACATCAGTTGTATTGGCCGATTCATTTCACCTTTTCCCATCCTTTTGTTGATTGTGCTGCGCAATGGTTTGCTTGCAAATGAGGATAGACTAATGGGATGCATGACGGCTTTTTACGCCGTGATAAATCGCAGCTGTCCGCGGCCTCCGGCCGCCGTCAGCGGTTGTTTCAACGTCGAAAGGCCGTCGTCACGTGACACTCTAAACCGTGTTCGTGGGGCTCTTTTATGCTCCAAGAGACCCCAAAACATTGGGGACAAGCTCGGAAAGCCGCTACTGATGCCTTTAGCATGCCATGCACAGCTAAAGTCAGCAAAAGCGTATGCATTATTGAGTAGCCTTTCATCGAAAACTCACAAAGTACACGGCTTGTCCGTCGCGAGCAGTGGCATCAGAGACGACTCTGGTGGGTAGCAACGCAACTGGGGTAAAAAAGGAAACGATCTTACCCGAGCACGCTTTGTCTTGTTTGCATACCACTAATGGAATGTATGTTTTGAAGCATTAGACTTTTAAGAAAACGCATGTTAAATAAATACCTTTAACCACGCTCTTATAGCGGGGGCGGAATAGGGTGATGTAGCCTCTCTAAGATTGTTTTGGGGACATCTCTCCGGCATGTCGTGCAATCGCGCCCAAATTTTCTGCAGTCAATGGAGCTTACATTGTGCGTGTTTCGACACAGAAACGTGTTTCTAGCTTTTCTATTGCTGGAGCGGCGGCGGGCTTTGGGCAACACTGCACGTCGATCTATGCTCTCAACGGACGGGCTGGCGGCAACCGACGATGCTACGTAACGCGCGCGGAGGGTTGACGTAACATTAATGCGCGCTTGGGTGGGCGGGGCTCGGCTTGACCACCTTCTAAGGTTTTCTGGAAGGATTTCCGAACAGCGCGGGGTAGCTGCGCCAAACTTTGCACAGCTGTAGAGCATTGAATAGCGGATCTCTGATCCAAAAAATTAGATGCACCTTGCAAGGTTGCCGACCTACGGCAGGTCAAAGTCAGGCCAGGCTGTCACCGAAAGGCATTTCTACATAACTGTTCAATGTGATACAACAGCGGAGTGTTAGACGAAGCCATACATATATAAAATGGTATTTTAGGCAACAAACCAATTGAATTCAGAATTATACCCACTTCCATTGACCTCGAATCGGGTATGAGGGTCAGAACGAGGACAAAACTAACCTGCTTTTTGTTCGGGAGCTTGGTTTATAGGATACTTTTGGTGCTCATCTCAAATGTTTTAATGACAGGGCCCGCAAAACACATCTTTTATGGACTTCTTAAATGTCAGAGTAGGTAACTGACCTAAAATGAGGTCAGACAAGGTTACTGACCTCATTGAGCTTTTGCCTAGAACAGATATCTAGCTTCAAGGTGGTTGCATGAGGACGTCTGGGAGAACTTGAGGCACAAATCTGGTGTCTGACCTTGTTTATTTTTGTTTGACGCCAGAACCATCACCTAGGAATCGAAATTTTAACACCACTGAGTTCACGTAAAGTTTAATGTACCCTGTAAATTTGGTGTCTCTGCCTATCTTAGTTCTTGTGATCTCAGAGGGGCTAATTTGACCCCCGCCCACCCAAGCGAATGGTATACAGCAGGCCACACGGACGCGTGTTAAAGGGAATATTTAACGTTTGAAGATTTCAAAGCAGGCATCAGATATGCTGAAACAAGTCTCCTTATAAATAATGATAGACCTTCAAGTTGAAAAGACTGCCGTAGACAACGCAATTTCTCCGTTTAGTAAATGCATGCATCCATACGTTATTGTTAGAGTATGTCATCGTACTTCGGACAGGATTGGTTCCGCACCACTTGGCGGCTTTATGTTGGAAATCGTGCTTACAAACGCCATATATGAGTGACTCGTTCATTATTTTGTTTTAGCCTTGATCTCCGCATGGCTCATCGAATGGCGGGATTTGAATACTGTTTTTGTGAAGTCATAAGAGTTAAGATGACCTTGATATGTTCTGCCGAGATAAAGGCTTTATTGCTGCTTCATCGATGCCCGGGTGATTGAAACGGTCTGTGCGATATAACCTGCGCATCACTATGGTTGTGTAGCTCAGAAGGTAGAGGGGTATAAGTCTTAAAAAGGGCGTGGCTGTGAACTACGCCGACAGATCTTAAAGATGGTTCTTGTAGTTCAAACCCCCACACAAATGAGGAATACTCTTTAACGGAGAGATATATCATAAATGTTTGCCCAAAACACGTAAAGACAAACCCAATCTTACTTAAAATTGAATATAAAAAACGCTTGTTTAAGTTTTATGTCACCACAAGTCATACCCATGACGTTATGAAGCTGAAAATGCGATTTTCAGGAAAGTTCGACCTTTAAACCGCCATAATCGGTCAATTATTGATCCAACAACGTAAAAGCTGGTACCGATCGTGGGATCTTGTTAAGTCGAATTCACTGTTGTTTTTTTCCGCGAAGCTCTCTCTTTGTTAGTTCCCCCTCAGTCCGCATTATGAAAAACGGCGAATCAGGGCAAGGGTTAAGACGTGAAAGCACCCCTGAGTTGAACTTCTGACACCTTGCACGTCAAGAGTGAATACTTACATGCATGGAAATATCGGGGCCTCTTCGGTAACGAAGCGATATCTTCGCCACTAATATCTTCAGTGCTATCCATTGTCGTCTCGCTCGTCCTGGTGCTTGTGGTAATGTGGTAGGTATCGCCGTTTGCGAACCGATGTGGTTTAATATTTATGCTCAATTAGAACGAGTGTTGCTCAGCAGTCTTGTGCGGCAAGACCAGCGCCATGGTGTCAACACAGGCACCGGCTCATCTCTTTTAGTGAGTTGATCAGTTTCAGGCGCATGGCACAACACAATGTATCAAAGTCGTCTGACTTCAAACAGTCAGGCCATATTTGTTCGGTGTCTATTCAAACTATTTACGGTCGCGGTGGGCTTTCTCAGGTTTCAGTAGTCAATTAAGCACTTTTCCACTTCTTCCTTCTGCTCAGGTTTTTATCACACGTCACTCGTTCAACGCTCTGTTTCAATGCTTCTAGCTTGGTCCGCGCTTCCAGCTTTTCTTCCATGATGGCGTCAAAAACTTTTTAAAACACTCGTGACAAATTGTGCAACGACGTCTCCTGAAACTGTTTTCGAACGCCAAGTTCGCGGTGAGGCATCGAAATATACGCGCCCTGGAAGCATCTTCTGACACTCAGACTTGTGTTCGACTCCTTTTTTAGCCGGTTCAGGCCCGTCTGACAGATTTTGGGATCCCATTCAGCTCATGAACCATAGCCATTCCAATTTTTTGCTTCAGCTCCGCTCACACTCGTTGTTTGCAATGAATCCTTCGACTCATGATTCACGCTGCTTCCAAAATTAAAGATCTGATTGAGTTCTGGATTTTGCCTTATCAGTCGTGAGTCATGCGACCCCTTCATAAATAAATGAATAAATGAATACATATATACACATATATATATATATATATATATATGTATATATATGTATATATATATATATATATATATATATATATATACGTATATCTTGGAAACTCCTCGCAGAATTATTTCTTTTATACATGTTTGATTAAAAATGACGGCTGAATCAGCACTGACGAGCATTTCTATGCATTTTTCGAGTATCCGGACTTTCGGCTTTGCCTTTTCGTTTGTATTTAAGATGGTTCGTGCAAAATCACTCATGTATTCGTCTTATGTTTCGACATCTCACCTCATTGTCGGAGAAAACTAACTGGCACAAGAAATAAGCTTGGGTGTTAAAGGACGAAAATTATGCATTTCAATTGAAAACACATCTTTTGTTACGGAGAGGACAAATAAAGCTTGGCCAATTGAGATAAGACAGAGCCCTGTGATTATTTTGATGCATGTAGAACGCACCCAAAATGGAAACACTACACAGACACTAACACATTGCCACAATCACACCAACGGCACTGACCGCCCATCACCTAATAATTCAAGGTTAGTGCAAAAATTGGTTTGTTTAGGCTTAGAGAAAGTTCGTTAATAAAAACACTTTCAAGTTTATACCTGTGCTTCGATTCTAGGTTTGCTAAGAATGCAATGTACATGTATGATGAGTGCAAGTAACTGAATTAAGAGAAATCAAATATGCGACGTTGACGATGCCTAAAATGATGTTAGGGATATGGGCCTGTACATTTACCGGAGCATTTGTGGCTGCTATTATGTACAGCTGAGACGTCAGGAAAAGTCATCATCGTGCCGAACGCGAACTTTTGTGGTTAAGGTCATTTGGACAGGTAACTCTTGGATGCGAGCAGCGAAATACGATGAGTGACGGAAGTGCTGACGCACGCAAGCACATGTGGGGCTTTTGGCGACAGAGTAAGCTCCTTCTGACATCACGGGAACAGTGAAGCTGTAAAATCTCTCCCATCCACGACTCTCCCAACCAGCGAGGAACGTGTTGTCGGTTGAAGAGGGTTTTATTTTCGCATTGGGTCCTTTCTGGTAGCTTGCTGGCACAAGGACGCCCAAGTTTCGGTGTTAAGGTGTTGAAGGCTACGTCAAACCGCCCGTGGTTCCTACCCGTGGCGGGGGCAATGGGACATTGAAAGAATGTGCTTCCCTTAGGTCCTGAGGGACCCCTGGGTCCGTCAAGACCGACGATTAAGGACACGGAAATCTAGCCGGAGGTCGCATTAGGGATCTCGGCCCTGTGTACCGGGACCGGGATGCCTACGAATGTTGCTCATGCACCGCCAAACAGTCGTCTACGTGTCAGTTTGGGTCTGAAGGCCCATTTCGCAAACAAAGACAAGGCAGGGGCTTGCGCTTTACATGGTTCGGGTTCCGTGAGTCAATGGAGGGGGCGGGGGGGGGGGGGGAGAGAGGCCGGGGTCTGCCAAGAGCCCAGAGTGCCTAACAGAGAGTTGTGTGTTGGCAAAGGGCCCCAAGTTAGCCTAGGGCAGTGTTTGAGAAGGTCTGAAGAGGGGCCTGAAAGGCTCTTCAGGGACCAACGATCAAGGGTTCGATTGGACGGCTGAAGACCCTGAGGGGCTGGCTGTTGGTCATATTTAGGCTGCTGGTTCATAGGGCCGTAACCTCAGGTATCAGTCAGAGGCCCTCTTGCACCGATTGAGAGCCCCCGGGATATGCGGGCCTCTAGTTTGGTCAGAAGCCACCAGCATCGCACATTTGGCTCCGCTTCGGCGTGAGCCCTGGTGGCACATTTCCTAAACAGAGACGGAGCCGGGGTCGGGGTCCACAACTTGCATGGGTTGGGGCCCCTGTAACAATAGGGGCCGTGCGTCGGCTGGAAACCCACAGAAGCTAACAGGAAGTCTTCTGTCGGTAAGGGCTCCTGAGACATGCAGAGGAACATTTCCCGACCAGAGACGACAGGGAATGGATCCCGAATTCCAGAGGGCCTCTTGCGGGTGTCGGGCCATCAGTCAGTGAAAGGAGATACGAGATTTTATGACAACAGTCCGTAAAGGGTGATGGAAGGGCCAGGGGGAGAGGTGCCAGTCATGGTGCCAGGTGCCAGTCAGTACGGAAGGGGGGCGGGACACATATCTTCCGAACAAACAGGATCACCAGCCCATTTTGTTCCGAAGATGTAAATCTACCAGACCTCACGTCTGATAAAGAAAACTCGAAATATGTTGGCTGCATGAGGCCAGCAATGGTCAATGTGTTTATCAGAGTGTGCGCGCATATGTATGCAGTTCTACGCCCCAGTGTACATACCAGGATCACCGCCAGGCTGCCGGTGGGGACCAGTGAAAGTTGAATAAGCCAACAGCAGTTTGAGCAACAACGCCATATGGCTCATGTCTTTAGATGTGGTCAGTAAACCAGCGTCCCCTGTTACAATGAAGGTCGTTGATTGTTTTTTTTTTTGTGTGTGTGTGTGTGTGTGAATTTGTATCATGATCAGTAGCATTGGAAAGGCCAAGAGATTGGCAGCTGAGTGACTTTCTTAAAGGGAATATGACAAACCAAGAAAATTTCTGTAATGTTGGTTAACAAAGAGCAAACAAAAACGTATCATGACAAAAATATTTCTTCAACAACTTAATACGCCCACCGGAAATAATTACACTCATTGGCTTCGTATTTGAACAGTCACTGTAGAATATAGCACTTCCAACAAGGAAGTGCCACCGTACGACAATCCCTTCCCATTTGGTACGAGTTGAGACCAAAACAACATGCAAAATTACAAGAGATTTGGATAATAAAGAAAAAACTATCGTTGAAAAACATCAAATGCACCAGGAGATTATCACGCAACTTTTCACATATTTAAATAAGCTATTGGTGGCAGGTTTAATCTATTGGACACGGGTTAATATAAATCTTATCACGCTGGACACGGGCTCATGCCACTTTGCGGAGCAGTCACAGTGAGAGTTCTGCGGCACACTCGTTTCCCGTGGTGTTCAGACCTGCTTATCATGCCAGTTCGGACTGGTCGAGTAAGCAGCGACAACAGCGACACCAAAACCCCGAACGCCCAGAGTGCGCAACTGTTCATTGCTGCAGTTGCTAAACAATTTTGCCGGTGCATTTCCAAAAGATTTTGGTAGGTGCATATCTGTTGTGGCATTGTGTGTCTTTGATCCATCGTATCGAGCATAACTAGATCGGGGCACCCTATTATCTGTAAAGTGGATAATTGTTTTTTGTACTACTTAGCATGTCTGACAGAAGAGAACTGTCACTGTAGAGTAAAATCTACTGGTCATCCCCTGGGATCAGAAACTGATCCAGATGACATGAAAGTTGAATGTAGTTTGAACTATTCACCCACGCTATGTAGGTGCCAGGACAAGCCTGCCACAGCCCAGTAAACAGTTGAGCATCATCTTAATCTTACGCAACGTTGGAACTAAAACCTTGAGGAAAATTGACTGTTCGCCTAAGTTGCCATCTTGGCAATGCTTGCTTATTACTGCATTCCTCTCTGTTTTCACTGTAGGCTTCAAATTGCAAGTAAAATTGTCCATGCTACAAATACCATTTGAATCATTTCAACATTTGGTTTGGTTTAATCAGTTGAACACGAATGTGTTGATTATGGATTTTTGTTTGCAAATAAAAGTGCTCTTAGGCTGGAAATGTCGCTTCAATAATTTCAACATGGTTTTATCAGCACTTGATGCGTATGACATGGATATATTTTTTACGTAGTGTCCAGTGAAATGCTGTTTTGGTGTTGCATGTAGCATTTTCCCCTGCTTTCAGCCACAAACATTGATATACTATCTGCCCCGAACGTTTGAGAACAGGTGCCGCAGTGTCCTGAAGCCCAGAAACTACCTGGAATTCTGACCTCGTGTTCGACGGTTTTACTGCGTTCGTCACTACCCACTCATGTTTTCTCAGGTGGATGAAACAGCAGTCTGAGGGTCAGCCAGTTCGTCGCTAACTTCCGGCACTTGCACGGGAGGCAGAGGAACATCACAAGGCTGGATCCCAATCCTTTCCGGCTGTGTGTCACAGTTCCAGTCAACGGGGTATCGATGGCACGTGTGACACCGACAACATCGAGATGCTCGACACACTGGCCGATCATGGCTGCCGGTCGGGGCTGCCCGTCGTGGTCGCCAATGCAGTTGACTACGTCACAGTGTTCGTTCGTGTTCCACGTCACCGTGTTCGGAGGGCGCTGGACGGAGAAGGCTGCGGCACCTGCCAGGAAGCACTGGTGAGCCGTCAGGAGTCCATCAACCCCACATCCCTATGTCACCGCCCGTGTCTGAAAGGTCCCGATGGGCTGTTGAATCCCTCCGCAGGAGCAGTCGAGAGGCGGTCCTGAGTGCTGAGGAGGGGCTCCGCCCCTACATCGCGCAGCTGGACGCGGCTTACCATGCAGTGCCCTAGCGGATTCTGGAGAGTGCGTTGGTGTGCTACATCGGGGCCGATGACATGTGAGATCCCGGTCACGACACCTGGCACACTTAAAGCGCTTAGGAACACCAACGCACCGAGCTGAGCAGGATTCTGGTGGTCACTTTCCGACGGGTACGTCTTTATCGCCTGGCGAAGCTGCACAACGCCCGCCCGCAAAGGAACACGATACGCCAAAAAAATCATTAAAGCAGTGCTGTTTCGAGGACAGGCAAGCTGTAAGCGCCGCTATTCTGCCCTCATTTGTCCGGTGGTATAACCAGCAGATACCCTTTCCTACAATTCTCAC